CGACACGACGTCACGTCGCTGTCGGCAGTCGCTAGTGAGGAGTCACAAGTTGTGTATCCTTATGTGCGACGCCATCGCACACTACACACATGGCGTGTAGACCGGCACTACTTGGCTAGGTATTTTGACCAATGGTGATGCTTTAAACCTGTCGCATCTCCAGTCTGTTGCACGCGACGAGGTATCAATTGTTACTATGGACCGATCGCAGGCGACGGCCACGGGAGGCTAGACTCCGCGACGCGTGTAAGGAGTAATACGGGGTTATCACTACGCTGGATCGGGTCGATCGCCCGACTCGATCGCCTGAAACTGAAAACAAACACGTTTGTTTTTGAGGTCGGGCGATCTGGCTGATCGGCCGATCCCATCCGTAGTGGGCACCCCGTATAAGGAGGCGGGTTCTTTATAATCTTACTTGATTGATTTTGAAGCGGCAAGGACCGTGCAGGACGCGACGTCGCGGCGCGCATATGGAGACATAGCCTAGTCGTGTTTAACGAACCTGATTTATCAACTGGTCGGCCGTGGATACCTTTTTCGTGATGCGCAAAGATTATCGAATCCCGAGGGCACTATTAAACATTAAGTTATCCGCATCTTTCTTATCTGTGTGTGAATGTGTGTGTGTGTGTGTGTGTGTGTGTGCGTGTGTGTTTGTGTGTGTGTTTGTGTGTGTGTGTGTGTGTGTGTGTGTGTGTGTGTGTGTGTGTGTGTGTGTGAGTGTGTGTGTGTGTGTGTGTGTGTGCGTGTTTGTGTGTGTGTTTTGGGGAGGTTTTTTGGCTCAATTCATATTAAAATCCATGGAGGAGTGAGACAAGGTTGTATCTTCTCTCCCAATCTCTATAACATCTACAGAGTTTATTTTTAGAGAATCTCAAAACCTGCAGGGAGTCACTATAATTGGGGGCCCAACATCAATAACCTGAGATACGCAGATGATACAGTTCTGTTTGCAAACACAAACGAATATCTTTCTAAAATTGTGAAAGTGAACTGTGCAGCAAGGCAGGCCTCGACGTGAACGCCAAGAAATAAAAAATCTTCTGGATAAACAACTGACGTAACCATAGATGGGGAGGGAATCAAACAATTGCACCAATTCTAGTATCTAGGGGCAACAATCACAGATGAGGGAAGAAGTGAAAAAGACATAAACACAAGAACAGCAGCTGCAAAATCAAGATTCAGCCAAAAGTACAAAATATTTAAATCCAGGCAACTCTTTCTTACTTTAAGAAAGAAAATGATGAAATGCTACATCTTCCTCATATTCCTATATGGCACAGAGACTGGATTTTGACAAGGAAAGAAGAAAACATAATAGCTGCGTTTTAGATGAGGTGCTACCGTAGAATGGGCACAGTAAGCTGGAAAAAGAAAAAAGACAACGAAAGAGGTGTCTCAGATTCTATACACAAGACAAACCCTTCTGAACAAAACAAAATGTAAAGAATTCAATGCTATGGCCACTTAAAACGACACGAGACCATTGTAAAAGAGGTGCTTGAATGGAAAGATGTGGGGCAGGAGAGCCAGAGGCATGCAAAGAATAACACGGATGGATAAGATCAGAACCAGGACTGGCCTGAATATGGCAGAATGTGCAACGGAAGCTCGCGACCGTGAAAGATCGAGGGTCATTACACGTCAACCTCTGAGTTAGAGATGACACCTCCAGCTCCAGGTAACCAGGATTTGGCTCCAAACATAAAAATATGTATATTTAAAACACTCTTCGGTATGGATTTTAAAGTTTTTAAAAATGATAAAAGACTCAAAAGGTGTAAATTTACAGTTTACAAAGACTCCCAAGCTTTAGAAATCAAGTAATTGCAGCCATTTTCTCTCTAATTATTGATTTCCCACTGACACCATGTGATCCGAACCTCCTTCATATCTAAAAAAAACTTATACCTTTCGTTCTTCTCTCGACTCGGGTTCCAGGATCCTGTGTCAGAAATCCCACAAGCTTAAGTAAAACCCATGAAAACAAATTCACTGCGTGTAAGATGACATTTTATTGTCTCCGCAAAACCCTTAGCATCACAAGAAAAGGCACGTAAAGAAATGAATAAATAAAAGTGACTATTGGCACTGAGTTAAGTCTGCATTAATAAATAAAAACAGAATAAAATGCTTTGGCCACCTGTTACGAAAATCACCTAGCCAGCCAGCCTCAAGAGACTATATAACACCAAGTACTCAGCTATAAAGGAAGAGGTAGAACACGCAAAATATGGATTGGGGAGTTAAGGAAAACATAAGAAATTACAATATCCCAACTGAAAGAGCTGCAGAGCTGGCCTACTGTAGAAAATTGCACATAAACTCGACGCTTAACGACAACAGAGGAGAAAAACGTGAAAAAGTAAAGACCCAGCTCCCTAAGGTGAAGAGGGCGCTATAGAAATCTACATAACAGTATTTATGAGGCTTCTTGGTGAAATCAGGCGCTCGTCAAATTAACGAAATAAAAGAAATCGGCATTTTTTGGCCGTTGGACAATTTGTTTTTCTAATTTTCTTTTTTTTGTAGGGGGAGGGGCCTCAACACCTTTTACGTCCATTTCAAAACACATTTAGTGTGGTTTTACTGAAAATCATTGGTTAAACGCATACAAAATGTAAATTTTCTCAGTTTCAAAGGACTATCCTTTTAAAACCTAGTAGTGTAAATCTATGACGTTACCAAACCTTGTCGGCCATTTTCTCACTAATTTTACTTCTGAAACCAGGCGACCCCTGATCTCCTTAAATTGTAAATATTTCAACTTTTATTCTAGACAAAAGGGCGGGTATTTTTTCATCAACTGCAAGATGAACAAACCAACTTTCAAAAGATACCAATAACTCCATAGTATGCCCAAAGACTGACAAGCGCCTGATTCCATCGCGCCGTGACACAAAATTTGTATTATTTCATAATACATGAATTTGATGATTAAAAATGATTTTAAAAAGTACAGAGCATGATGTAAAATGTTCAAGAAGTAGTAAATAGCAGCTGAATGTATAGCTCATCCATTTTTTAAAAACATGATAATATTTTGTGAACAATATTAAAATAGTTTCCATTTATGCTGAACCTTGATATTTTGAATATGATATAACAATCTCGAGTTGTCTTTGCAAGCAATGATTTTCTTTCAAAGTTATACGTTGATGTAAAATTGCGCATTGGTGGCCTTTTTTTGTGCCTCCTTTTAAGGTTGAAAATAATCACATTGTCGTTTCTGGGGCGTATTTCATAAAAGTTGTTATTTTCTTTTCTTTGAACACAAGGTAAAGTGAAGTTCCTAGAAGAACCAAGAACAAATTGCACGCAAGTGGAGGTTCATATAAAAAAAAAATTGCGAGCAAGACACATTGATGCAAGAAAACTGGTAACAAATTTAAAAAGTTTGGTTT